TTAAACAGCACGTGTTTGAACGTCGTGAAAATAACGTATAATTCTACACGCGATGTGCACTACCTCGCTATGAGTCCAACGGTAGGATAATCGACACGTGAATGATTTCCACTATAGGTTAAAGGGCGGTGGTCGAAGTGCCGCGTTCTGTTCGATATGGGACTCACAGCAACGTTTAAAAAATAAATTATAATTATAAATTATTTGTTTATATGAAATTCGAACACGTGCTGCGTGACGACCATTGCCCTTTAATCTGTATCTAACTCAACCCTCATTGACCCCAAACATATAAAAATCACCGATGTTCGTATTTACTGTATATTCTCCAAAAACACCTAACTGCAAAACAAGATTGAACGTTCATGATTTCTGAGTTTGACAGCGATTTCAGTAGAGGGCGCCGGAGTCAATAAAAATCTCCTTTTCCTATGTATAAACATAAAAACGTATGTGGTTATATTCCGGTACACCATTTCATTACTTATCATTAAATAACTGATATATCCATGTCGTCTTTTTCCGTGAGCGAAAGTGACGCTCGTCATGTTCGCCAACACTGCACTGGAACTATAATTTGAGCTGTATTATTCATGAAGTAAATGTCACGTTACAATTTTGCATATAAGCAACGTAACCGTCACGCATGACCGCTGTAAGTCTCGACAACAATTATACCGTATACGTTAGATTCAGGTCATATTTTCGCAATCTAAAACTGATCCGTGAAACTGGTACTAGCAGCAGAAAATTTCAATCGATTATATATAAAACACATATCTTCCCCAATTTACACGAATTTATGACGAAATGTTACCTTTTCTAATCATCGTGATATCAGCCTTCAAGTCATGTCAACCTGCGCATGCGTGATGTGCCATTAATCGGGGGGGTGGGACTGCGAATTTTGTACGCTTTAGGGCATTCCACGCCTGCGCAGATAAACTGATAAATATGTGCATGTTTTGTCCTCCCCTAAGGCTTAGTATAGTGTAGGCGTTTCGACCAGGAACAAATATTAGAGATTAGGTGGTCGGAGCGTGGATGATTAAATTTAATGATATGTGCGAGCACTCAAGTATATTACCGAGCTGTTTCAATTCTATAATATTATTTTGAGCAAGAATAAGGTCATGTACCGGGATATGTATTGACCTCAGCAACCAACAACACGAATAGGTCGTCAGGTCATGTGCATGTGACGTATATGTATAAAGCAAATAATGATTGGTACTGCATTGATAATATTTTCGGAAAACAGAGAGACGAACGCATCCGGGAAAACACGTGGTTCGACATAACAGAAAGTGCTTTCGTTCGAAAACGAATGGACGACTGAAATAACACAGAACGTTTACGAAAATGGGTCTGTTTACGTTGAATTTTAGCGATTATATTCATAAATGTAGGCATGTCGGCTATTTTTGTGTACAACTTATATTAAAGCCACAGTGTATATTTATTATTGCAACGAAGACTGTTTGATCGTTTCGGATGGATGGATTGGGTGAATTAGAAAACATGTTTTTAACTGTAGATGCGAATCGTGCGATATAATATCATGTCTGCGAAAGATTGGCTTATGTGCACATCGTAAAATAACATTGGAATGACCTCTCGGTCTCGCGACTCTCGGTGCATTTTTGTTCCGCGATCTTTGAAAACATGATTATTTTCTCTGGTAATTAACCTGTGTATTTTAATTATTTTATTTCTGTATATCAAAGTTGCTTAAATAGCAGCCAACTCTATTAGTGTAGCAGTCGAATTGGCACCTTCAAAACTTAGCTGAACGTTTTAATACAAAAGGCTGCGTTTTACCCTGCCATTTTACCATTTGTAAACAAACATGAATGGACATGTAACGAAGTTATTATAATTTACCAGCTGCAAGTGATTTTGAATACTGATTTGCCATTCTACGATGTTTAAACTTCTGACCTTCTTATCTTGCCATAATTTCGCTCTCTGTGGCGATTTTTTTTTTCTGAATTTATTTTTGCTATGTACTCAGTACATTGTCACATTCCTAATAGATATGGGTACTTTACGGATAAAAGCTTTGTACTGCTTAAGCCAGTAGTTCCTATAAATATCCATATTTGCAAATGACTAGTTTTTATTAAAACATAAATAACATTGTCATCGAAGAAGTCGGTGACACACGTTAAATTTAACAGCAATCACAAAATAATTTCAACTGAAACATGTTCGCGCTATTTAACAGCTCTGACTTTCTTCTTGGAACTGAATGAATTTGAATGTAACGTCATGAAATATGAGTTGAAAGTTCCAAGAAGGTATAAAATACACAAAGCACTGTTTAAAAAAATCAATTTCATGGACTCTACACAGTTATTACAATTGAGATATCAATTTCCTGATTTAATATCCTGAACGGAAATGTGAAGCTCTAAATAGTAATTGAAGAAGAATCAATATAAACAACATAACTACATAACACAGTGTGACTGAAATAAATTCCATTTTAATTTTGTTTGTGGTTATAAATCGCATGCAATAACATTATTTTCCGTTCTCTTGATAGTACTCCGTAACTAAACTACAACAATAATAAGCCCTCTAATTTCAACTTTGTCATTGATTTATGTTTTGTCGCTGTTACATATTTTTCTCGCCAAAACATTGATGTAACATTTATTTTTGCCTCACAGGGGATAATGCTACGTGATTCGTTGAAATCGGTCACGTGGTAATAATACATAAAATAAACAGTGACATGCCATTTGACATTTCATCCAGGGCCCTCACCAAGTACGATTACAAAACAAATCAATAGATGGCGCCATCTGGAGACACAGGAAATAGCACAGGAAATATTTTATTAAAAATAAAAAACAAATGGAGAAAAATGATAGTTACGGCTATCACCTCTTTAAATATTCACATGCATATTTGATCACGTGAAAGCCGCTTGTTTCAACTCTCAGCATTGTCAGCTGGCCGCAGTTGTGAAGTCGTAATACTGTTATTGTTATTGTTGCCGACAAAATCAGAACACGCATAAATTAATATTCGAAAAAATGTAATGATACTGATTGCCTGATTTCACACACGCTAATCAAGTGCAATGTAGACATGAGAGTTTGACTGCGGCAATAATCTAAACTAATCTAATCTAATCTAATCTTAAGTTACACTCACAGAATTAATTTCATTTATGATAAGTTTTCGCTACAGTATTATGGTGATGGTCACTCTATGATCGGAGTCATAAATCACGTTGTCATATAGCTCAAGTAACATGAGGTGTGGTGATGAAGGTATCTGTACCCCAGGCATCGAAAGTAAAGTTGTATTGTGATTTCCTGTCTCTGATGATCATTACCATGTTCAAGGCAGTATGTCGTCCCAAGCTCACAAGCTTGAAGATTTTAGAGGAACATCTGTCAAAAATCTAGAATTTGGTAAATTTATGCAATATGTAGAAAAAGTTTGCAAAGCTATGTCTCGCGAACATTTTGTCACCAAACTGTCAGAACATCTCCAGGGATCTCTTAGACCGGTATGGCAGTAGCAAGGTGTAAGTATCAAGATTTTAGCTTTGACAAATATAGGTACAATACTCAGCTGAATCAAAAGAGCATCAGTGAGAGTAAAGAAGTACTCTTCTAAACATTCTTACACAAACAACCATAAATTTAGATAACACATAACAAATTGTTCAGCATGGTTACAGATTAGTTTTGCTGTGAGATGGAACCTCTGTTTTCTGACAATATTCAAAAGACCATTATGTGTCGTGATCTGCAACCAAAACTAAATCAATGTACCCACAATAGATTTACATGTCAATAGCATATCAAGACACTATAAGGGCATCCATTAGCAAAGCACAGGCATAGAGGCAACACAATTACCATGATTTTGCATCTGATTAACAATTTTATAAGGTTGCTCACAAATTTCATGTATGAGTTTATCCGAGATATACCAAATTAAGAGGCATACATATGCTGATGGGATTCATAGATGCTATGAGAACATTTATGACCGGGCATGGAAGAGATTTTGTCATCAACATTTGAAGGGAAGTTGTTGGCAAGTTGCTATAATGGGAAACAATTTCCCATGAATATGAAAGCTTTGCACATGGTGGTCGATGAGCTACTACAATGTGTTTGACATTGTAAGTCGAACTAACTGATAAACCATGACTGTATTGCACTGTTCGCTTCACATACAGACAGTAGGGATAATGTTACCTTAATATGTGAATTATTCATGATATGGTACTACCTCATTAGAGGAGTGGAAGCTCTACTGGCAATTGTACTTCAGTACTTTATAAAAAGTTCTCGTGTAGTAAGGCACATACATAAATATTGGAACACAATAAGGAGTTATATGTTTATAGAAACAATATTGCATAATAGTAATCGCGGGGATCAAGCCTGAACCTCTAAAGACATGGGCGCTCAATTTGTACACATGTACCCAATTTAATAATTCCTGAAGATAATGACACAGCAACTCTAAACAACTTTAAAAAAATCTAAAGCAAGATTTTCTATAAACAACTTTGACAGAGAAGGATTACAAAGGAATTATAAAAGAGCTTTAATCTGATGATTTAAGATAATCACCCTGAGAACATTGTCACTGTTGTTAACTGACGCATTTATCTTGTATCAGTGAAGATGGATAAAACAGCTGATACTTGCACTAAGCTAATGGGCGAGTTTAAAAATATATTACCTGGAGTACTCTATGCCATGATTCCCATGACTGTTAGTTCACCGTTTCGTATGCCCCCGACAAGAAATTTAATGAATTGTGAAGCATATCCATTAGCAGGAATGTACTTGGAAGAATACACTAGATTTACATCAATCAACATTAGATGTTACATTAATTTATATGGGTAAACAGCATAAAAGAAATGTATAACTTTCACATGCTAACATATTAAAGTCAATATGGTGCATGTGTGCAAGTGAAAAAACCTATGCAGATCTCGAGGATTTGTCAAAGTAAAACTAACATACACAATAATCTGTACTTGTCGTGAATTATTTAAATGATGTAATGAACAAACAAGGATATTATTGGAAATACTTTATATATTTTTACTTTTTATCAAATTACGAAACGGTCATTTGTGAATATGGCCTTTCAATGATTATATACACTGTATAGTTGTTTTAATGAATTATTCGACTTCAAAAACCCATAATTTGTGCTATACTGCACATTATAAAGCATTATGGCCGTTTTAAAAAAATATTGAAATATGCAATATGCAAATTAGAATGTCATAGTTGCTGAGGCTTCAGGTGATGTGGAAAACATTATTGCATTCAGATCATTTCCGCTTGCCAGTGAAGACCGCCAGCAGGTCTTTAAATGGGGCAATTTTATGTGGGTTATCGACATTGTCACATTTTATTTTTTTAGATTGTTCTATAGTTAGATTCAGATACTGCCTTCTTATAATTCTAGTCTCCACGGCGGTAATCTTCCGGGCATTGTCATCGCCGTGCAATCGCAATCGGAGAAAACAAAGGTCAAGACTAAAAACACTGTACTTCGAGCGAGATGTTGAGACTCTCTTAAATATAAATTTGGTTGTTCGATGAAATAAACACTGGGTTTCATTTTGCGGATTTTAGGTTGCAGAGATATTCACTAGGTTTTAAGATGACTGGTTTGTGGAAGAAACAATACATTCTATTTTTACACTTCAATATACGCTAGATTTTAATTCAGCTGTCAATTCATCTGAAAATAATTGCGGGAAATTGTGCGGTTGCTGCAAACAGTGTTGTTTTTCAAGTTGCATAGGAATTGACTACAAATGCAACCAGCCGCCGAGATTATGTTGGATGTTGTTACAATTAGTTGATGCCCAAAACTGATTTCAATGTGATATTATAATGCTGAAGGTTCATATGAAATGACAAATAATTTTTCTAGCTTAACCTATATATATAAATAATGCGTACTTCTGATTTGCTTCTGAAAGCGTGCTGTTAATTAAGTCGCGTTTTAATGAATGATGCAACTCTGGTTTCGTGTTTTGAAACATTACATTTCAGTCGTCAACTGAAATCGACAAAAAATATTAATTTGTGCAACTGACATACAGCGAAAAAAAGAATATCGTGCCCCAGGCATTTTCTGTTTAAAATAATATATGAACAAATTGCTTTGTCATAATTCGTAAACGACGTCAAAACCTTCTGTTGTGATTCGCTGAGGCTCGTGTTGTCAATTCTGAAAATGAAATAAGGCGTACTGCACCAAACGGTGTCTTTATTTATTTGCAGAGGTGGCGGCCCGAAATTTGCGTCTCATAGTATTTCCGCTGACATTGATCGAGACAAATGGTCGAGGTAGTCCAGTGTGGCTTTTGAATAAATAGGGAAATGGATGCCGATGACATTGTGATTAGTTTTTGACTACGGATTTTTACTATTGAGATGAAATTATCACGTCTATGGGTGAATCGATAGGGGGTAAAGTGCTTTCAAAAACATAACACTTGTTCCTCGCTTGCCGCGTACACCTCAACAACAGTGCATTACAACACAACACAACACAACACAACAAAACACCAACGAAATATTTGCTCTTGTATTTAACAAAGGAACTTGACACTAAACACAAAGGAACGTGTAGAGGCTTAAAGTAGTATTTAGATTGTTTTATAATCCAATTCCCACTTGGAAGAGTTGTAGGCAGAAATGTTTATATGTAGACATTCTGGCAATTAACCTGGCCTTTGGACCACAATTAAAGTGTTTTTGCAGCAGGATGCGTAGCAGCCTTTTATCAGTTCTGTGTGGTCCCAGAGCATGGGTGGATACGCTTTAAATTACTGCTGTTTGATTTGTTTTCTTCCACTCGCATTTTTCATTTTTACCATTGCGAAAAATAAAGATATGAAACTTGAATATTCCCCTTGTTCACAGCCACTTTGGTATAGATAGACTGAAGACAACACAGAATGTCATCGCAACATTAGTATAATTATATAAACAATAACCATAGTTTAGGTGGTTGGGGCAGTCTTGGAATATTCATTGAATGTATTCAGATGCAATAATTTAAATTTATATGTATGAACGACTTTGTTTGTCGCTAAATCTTGTATTCACAATTTGTTTTATTTGTATTCGTAAAATCTCCATTTGTATTTCTAAAATCTTTAGCTATATTCTCACCTAAACTTTATCTTCGTATTTATAATACAAATTTGCATTTGTTTTTGTGAAATTTGCATTTGTATACGTAAAATCGTCTTTTGTATTCATAAATCATATATTTGTATTTGTAAAATATGTGAGCGTAGAGGGCGATATTTGTGTTAGTAAACCTCCATTCGTGTATCGTCGAATCATGTGCGCTTTTCTTCACTGACCTCGATTCAACACATAAGTTCCATAGCGGCATAGGACAACACGCATTAGGTGCTTTGCCAATTGCTAGCCAAGGGAAGTACCCTGTAAATGTTTTTTGCGTTGTTTCACACCGATCCATCCTGTTTTCCCGATTCCCAGGCGCAACGTTTGTGATGTGTTGTCATATCTACAAATTGCGGTTGGTTGAACAAATCATATATAGTTATAAAGTGGGTACTTAAATTTGTAACAAATTATTATCAAATAATTTGAATAGTTCCAAAAAGTTTCATTTTTGTTCAGTTGTTCAGACATTCTTTTTTCCAAAAATGACTTGTGTCAAAATCAACAATTCTGTAACATTGTTTAATAAGCTCGGTAATGATAAATTACATATTTACATATATATAACCATATATCCTATGTCACATACATCATACGATGCGTGTTTCACGACTTGTAAGCAAATCACGTAGTCATGGTAATATATTAGTCAACGCTGCAAAATAAATAAATATCAACAGTTTGGCAAACATTTTCAAATAGACACACTAAATCACAAACATGTGCACTTTTCCGTTTTTTTTTTGGGTGGGAGGTCTTTTGTGGTGTTAGTTTCAATTTATCACTCCACCATTGTATGACATTTTATACTAAAATAGAATGTTGGTCAGACCAACATTAATCTTATCAATACCCCATTTGCACACGTGCATTCATTATATCCACTTCCTTTGTGACATGTGAGGACGCTGTGTCAAATCAAGTAATTTCAACAATGAGACAATTTCAAGTAATTGACTATAGTAATGGTATGAGCTTTGTGTCTTGTTTTCTCGTTATTCAACTGTAAATACTATCTACAAGTGTGTTGCTTTTTAATAAAATTGTTTTGCGTGGATATAATGTTATAGAAAAACAATGCGCCGAAGGATTATTTATATGCGGGTACATATGCTTTCCAGCTTCATTCTCATATCGTTCCGCACGTTTGTAGATGTCTTCATTGCCAGATTTCAAAACAAAACTATAATTGTGTAATATTCATTTCCCAATATTTGATCAATGACAACGAATGTCATGACAGATATATTACAACAGTTTATTAAAAGCATATATTCTGTTTAGCAAGGATTATTTGTAGAGTAGTTTATTTTGAGCTGGCGCATTAATACAGTGTATGTAAAAAGTCGAAGTGATTTGGTCTATACATATCTATCATATTTACTGCACAGTATTGGGGCTTATATTATAGTCAAAATGATGGCACGGATTTCACCGGGATATTGTCGTAGAGTATTTACGGTAGGTGTATGTTGGTGAAGTTATCATATGTGCATGTCACCGTTACAAGTAAAACATATAACGGATATGTTCATGACGGGGAAGGACAACATGGAGTAGTTTTGTGTTGACCACTGGATTGTTGAACACTGCTTAAGCTACCGACGATTAGTAATCCTATAGTTACATAAATAGAACAATTGAATTTCCCACAATATATGTCCATCTAGTAGAAAAAAATGTTCTAATATGAACTTTTTTTTTTTATTTTAACAAACGTAATCGATTTAACAGATATTTGATAAATACATATGTTTATGTAAATTCACAATTAATCCGATGCATTTGTCAGAAGTACTAAACAATAAATTCATTGCTTCACATCGTCACTATGTTATCCGGATATTCGATATTCGTTCCTGGTACATAGTGTACTCGTATAAGAGTCAACTTTCAAAGTAACACCACGAGCAAATACGAAGTCAGGCACACCTCGGCCCGCGAGGTTATGGTTAGAAATTTCACGGAAGTAGTTATATAAAAAGTGTGAAGAAGAAAGGAACATCGCCCACAAGCTTAACAAATGTTTCGTCAAAATATTTAAGCTCATCTCATTTTTAAGATCAAATCATGCAGAAAGTTTTCTTGGTTGGAATGAGTTTAAAGATTCATTTCAGTGCGCCATCATAGTTGTTTAATTGCGCTGATTGGTTTATTTTTAGTGGTTTGTCTAAGATCAGATTCCCTAAGTTTTAATGTGATAATTAGAAAAGTTATATATTATGAACAACGCAGTGCGGTGACATCAACATGCCATTACCGTTTCTTTGTTATTGTTGAGTTTTGTTTAAACTCTCGTATATTAATAATGTTTTACTTGCAGTCTGGGCTAAGACTGAATGGACTAACAATGCGAAGAACCGTGTCATCCTCAAACATAATCCAGACATTTCAATATGAAGATAACCTACCTCCTTTACCAGTACCTCCATTGCAACAGACGCTCAACAAATACATAGAGTCTGGTATGTATTCGGAAAACATGATATGATATTATTATC